GCTGGGATAGGATCCAGAAACGAGGCTCCGTATCGTTCAGGAAACCTGGCTGCTCCTATGCGTGAAGTAGTAAAAGCTCCCCACGTACAAGGACTCTGCTTTAACTTACGATACAAAGCTCTAGTAAGCTTGTTAGTAAGCTTGTCAGGTTCTTCAATATCTGCCAAAAAGAATCAACAGTTAATGAAATATGTGGAAAGGAAGCAAACCACACAAAGACATCCCTAGAAGACCCTAACCGGAAGCATCGGACCAAGAAACCCTTAGGGTACGACCCACGGGGACCGTCAAAGGGTCAATCTTAACGTAAAAATATTTCTTCCTCCAGTCATCATCACTGCCGGAAAACTTAAAGAGGCCCAGCTTGGGTCGGCAAGGTAAATAGTAGGTGCCGCTACCACCATCTTTTGAGGCACTCTCCTTGATCGTATAGAGGCTCATTAGATCGCGGAGACCAACGGCAACCCCCTCTTCCTTAGCTCTGGTGATAAAACCATTAATCACTCGGATAACCGAGGGACAGAGCTGGGAAAGAGCTAACTGATAATGATCGAGAAGATCCAATAGGAGATCTGGAAGCGGGAATCTGAGATGACATTTGGTGATGTACTTCTCATGAACGCAGAACCACCCTTCCGGAGCAGTCTCCGGAGTCTCGTCGGGTTTACAGGCCTTGGCTAAATCCTTCTGGCCTACGGCCTGAACCATCAGGTTAACAACCTCCTGGCTCCTCAGCAAAGAAGGCACGTGAGATCCGAAGAGGGTGCTCCCACCTGAGCCATCGTTTTTCTTCGTTCTCTTGGAGACTCGTAGAGCAATTGAGTCCCTACCCTTCTTGCTCGCTTCACCCTTTTTCATCTTCTCACCGATTTCCAGCTTAACCTTCATAAGCTGAGCAACGGAGGCAGGAAGTTCAGTTTCTCCGGTACCTTCCTTATCTTTCGTCATGATAGTAAACGGAGGAAAGTAGAAAAAAGCAAAGAAATCGAAGAAATGTTCGGATGAAAACTTTTTCAAACTATGGATTCCTAGAAGTATTAACGGGAACAAATATAACTGCAGTAAATTAAAGAAGAAAGTGAACAGTTACCTGAGGAATCAAATCGAGACGTGGGGTGGTGGAGAAACAGCGCAGTTAATAACCGCAGCTTTATATCACGTCCAGCCTCGAAAATCGGGATTGAAATTATTCAAAATATATTAATCCCTACCGTTGATTTAACCAAACGAAATCCAGGCCGTAGAATTAAGGTCACGCGAATCTTCGAGTATAATCATTATCTCGAGGAACAAGAGGTCAGGCGGTTACGCTGTAGCTTCCGAGAAAAGAGATCTTATCTCGAAAGCTGGGGGCAACTGTTGGGCCCGAATTTAGCCCGTTAGCTGAATTAATGGGCTGAATAGTTGAAACCATTTACGGGGTATTACGAGCCCATTAGAAAGCCTTTCCCCAAACAAGAATCAAATGACATCGTTACCTATCGATAAAAACAGGTCACGAACAAAAGACTCGGGACCTCGTTTACAAACAGCTAACGAGAAACAGCTCCAGGAGAACATGCAAGACTTAGTCAAGAGGAAGCTGTTGCGAATCCCACAACTCATGGAGATAATCTCGGAGGCTTCGCTGGGAGAAGTTGGACGTGACCTAGAGCTATATAAAGAAGAGAAGAGATCAGAGAGAGGGGATTCGATTCATTCAACATAAAAAGACTCTAATACATTTTGTTCTTAATCATCTCTATCAATCATTGTTCTTTCTATTAGATCGTCAAGATCATCCTTGTAAACTCTTTTATCAGCAAAATCAATATAAACAAACGTATTCATTCATACAAGTTCCAACAGGATTCAGCCCACGATTATCTTTTCCCAATCTAAACCTAACCTAAACTAGAGAGTGAGTTTTACCCCTCACAGTATTCATCAACCGTTTTTAGGATTTGAACGATTTTTAAGAAATCAACTTTGTTTCTGCGAAAGTTATTCGGAAGAAGTACATTCGTGGGGGTTGCGTACCTGATTTCCTGTTCTCCTTCTTTCTTCGGTTAACCAAGGGTTTCTTCGCGACTTCGGGAGGTTGAAGCAAGTTTGCTTCTCCAAAGGCTTTCAAGAAAATTATTTGGAAGAAGTACATCAGCGAGTTGCGTACCCAATTTGCTGTGCTTCCTTTTTCCGCGAGTATCCTACGATTTTTCCGCGAGTAGCCTAGGGGTTTTCCGCAAGTAACCTAAGATTTTTATGCGGTTTCTGGTAGAGCAATTTTTATTTTTCCGAAATTTTTTCAGAAAACCTCTTCTGGTCAAATCCTTACCCGGTGAGATTTCTCCAACTCGGTAATAGGAAGAAATTTACGGGGTTGAATATGTTTTATCTTTTCCCTTTCTGAATAAGACAGAGAAATCACGAGCTTGTTTCGGTGCACTTTTTGTGGCGAGAAGTCGCGATTAGGTTTTTGATTTTGTTGACCACTACAGCGTTTGCGTAAGCATTGGCAATAGGAGCAGTCAGTGCTGCGAGTTTGTCTTTCATACTTCCAGACATCGTTTCGACCAAGCGTTTTGCAGCTGCGAGTTAGAGTAATCCGATCCCCCCCCCCTTCTAGTGCCAAACTGTGGAACCAAAATTTTCACTGTCGATTTTCGTAAAATAAAGAAACTTGAGAAAAACCTAATTTTCCAGACATCCCGGATATCTGTGAGAGCCAACGACAAGTGACGGAATAAATGCGGAAAATACCAAAAAGATAACAATACGAATTTATAAAAAAAGGAGATGTTATTTTGAATCCACGTAAGAGCATTGGGATCATTACAAGAGATTACAAAAGCTTTGGTCGCAAGAGCTGTCAGAGAGTTACCTAGTTCTATCAACCTAAAACCTAGTTGAGTTTCAGCTCGATAACAAAAGACGAAAAAGATACGGAAAAGGTTTTGATTGATTTCGGACTGAGCCTTATGAAAGGCTGCCAACGTACCCCTTTCGAGGATCAAGCCAAAATTTGTTCAATTGATAGCGCTGGACAAGAGATCGAACTGCCTAGGCGAGTTCGTCTAGTAATTGAGTGCCAGTCATAGAAACCGAACTTATCGAGAATAAAGCCTAAAGTTTCTAAGTGCAGAGAGTTTTTTAGTCTACAAGAATTTTTTTTTTCTGTGCCTCTCGCCTAGGAGTCCTTATATACTCCCTCCTAGGTCGGTTTATGCTTTACCCTTCTGCCCTTAAGCCTCATAGCTCAAAAATGGAGATAATCCATTTTTTCTGATCTTCATGATTATCTTCGGAAACTTGACATTTATCCGTGAAAATTTGAAATTTATCTTTTCTTGTCAACCAAGTCTAAACCGCCACAGTGTTTATGTAATTTTTGTTAAGAAATCGTAAGTGGGCTTCTAGTCGCGTTTTAGGCATCTTTGGACTGTCTTTCCGCCCGAAACGTTTATTACGGTTTCTTTGATAAAAACAAACTTCCCGCAGTTTTTATTCTAAAGTTTGAATGATGACTCCAATCGATAAAGAACAAGGAGTGGTTAAGCCGTGGCCTACGGGAGATGGCATTAAAGAGTGGATGAGAATGCATGGATTCATGTTGTATCGGTGTTTGGGACTGTTCGGTTGCTACGTAGCGAGCAAGCATGTTGCTAGCTCGGTCGCTACGTAGTGACCGAGCATGTTGCGAGCTCGGTCGCTGCGTAGCGAGTGAGCTCGCAACAAGCTCAGTCGCTGCGTAGCGAGCGAGCTTGTTGTGAGCTCAGTCGCTGCGTAGCGAGCGAGCTTGTTGCGAGTTCGGTCGCTGCGTAGCAAGCGAGCTTGTTGTGAGATCGGTCGCTGCGTAGCAAGCGAGCTTGTTGTAAGATCGGTCGCTACATAGCGACTGAGCATGTTGCGAGCTCGGTTGCTACGTAGCGAGCGAGCTTGTTGCGAGCTCGGTCGCTACGTGGCGACCGAGCTTGTTGCGAGCTCGGTCGCTACGTGGCGACCGAGCTTGTGGCGCGCTTGGTTGCTATGTCGCAGCCGAGCTTGACTCTTTTTCGAAGTTTTCGAGCGTTTTTCTGGACAGTCGATGTTTAGCATTGGTGGCTCGATTGTGAATTTTTAAGTTCGGAAATACTTGTTCGAGGATTGGATAATCCTTTTGATGCGTATTTCCTCTATTTTTATATCGTACAAGGTCTTTTTAAATTTTTCGTACTTTGATACGAGTTTTCTGTAACTTCGTATCTCCGTAGAAAATTTATAGTTTTCTCGTATGACTTTTCTTGGACTTTTAGCCATTTTGACCGTAACACCAATTAAGAAAATGAAAGAAATAGAAAAACAAATTTGATAAAACTAATATGCAACTGAGTAAGATTGATACAAAAAAAATCTAAAATTATTAATTAGAAATGAAATAAAAAATGTAGTGCAAATAAATCTGCGCTTGCGCATTAATAAACCCTAGTGTTTAAGTAAGAGTCTTGGTAAATTAATGTGAAAGTATTGGACTAAAAAAAGAAATAGAATAATAGGAATGAAATACAACAAAAAATGGAAGAGATATATTCCATTTATTCATGATCAAAATTGTTATGAAATAATCATCTTTGTATTTTCTCTATTTATTTATGAAATTGATGAAATAATTATTCCATTCTATTCATAGTAAATGGTAACAAAATTTGTGGAATTACTGGAATCATGACTATTTCATTCTATTCTTAGTAAATGGTAACAAAATTTGTGAATTAATGGAATCAACTATTTCTTATCATTTTATTCCAAATGGCAATCCAGTTTCTAAGCTTAAGTTAACAAAAGAAACAGTTTTCTTTTGTGGAAACAAAAACCACTTAATGCGTCGTAGACTAATTTGACTGAGCATTTAAGCTCAATTATTTAAAAGAACATCGAAGACTATTGCACTGCCTATCCGCCACTCGTCCTGTATGCATAGGACAAAAGACTTTATTATATAACGCTTCATCGCATCGCTTAAGGGGTTTCGATAGCAAAAACCGCTCAGCCATTCTTTTTATAAAGAAAACCAGTTGACAAAAACTACTTAATTTTAGAAAAAAATGAAACTGGAGCTGGTTTTCATACCATCACCCGGTGACGGCCACATCAGACCACTAGTGGAAGTTGCTAAGCTTCTTGTCGACCGTGACGACCGTATCTCCGTCACCATCCTTATCATCCCTCAGATGCATGGATTCAGTAGCGGAAGCTCTAACTCCTACATCGCTTCACTCTCCACCGCATCTGAAGACCGCCTCCACTACAACGTTCTCTCCGTCGCAGATGAACCAAACTCCGATGGCCCTAAACCCAATTTCCTCTCCTACATCAATAGCTTCAAGCCACAGGTGAAGGCCACGGTTGAGAAACTCATCACTGATCCAGCCCAACCTGACTCGCCGCCATCGCGGCTTGCTGGATTCGTGGTGGACATGTTCTGCACGGAGATGATTGATGTCGCCAACGAGTTTAACGTACCGAGTTACCTGTTCTACACCTCCAACGCCACGTTTCTGGGGTTGCAATTCCACGTTCAGCATCTTTACGATGATGAGAAATATGACGTCACCGATTTGAAGGATTCGGACATAACCGAGTTGGAGGTTCCGTGTTTTACTCGTCCTTTACCGGTTAAGTGTTTCCCCTCGGTCATGTTAAACAAAGATTGGTTACCGGTTATTTTTGGCCAAGTGAGAAGATTCAGAGAAACCAAGGGTATTTTGGTAAATACGTTTGCTGAGCTGGAGCCTCATGCTATGAAGTTTTTCTCCGGGGAAGATAATACTCTTCCTACGGTTTATCCGGTTGGACCGGTTCTGAATCTCAAAACCAACGGTCCTGATTCAACAGACGACAAGCAGACAGAGATCCTAAGCTGGTTGAACGAGCAGCCACGTGAGTCTGTTGTGTTCCTCTGTTTCGGAAGCATGGGAGGTTTCCGTGAGGAGCAAGCAAAGGAAATAGCAATAGCGCTTGAGCGAACCGGACATCGTTTCCTTTGGTCTCTTCGCCGTGCTCCGCCAAAGGGAACGATGGGACATCCCGAAGAGTTTACAAACCTTGAAGAGATTCTCCCGGAGGGATTCTTAGACCGGACTGCGAAGATGGGTAGGATTATCGGTTGGGCTCCACAGAACGCAATACTAGCAAACCCTGCGGTGAGAGGATTTGTTTCGCACTGTGGATGGAACTCAACACTTGAGAGTCTTTGGTTTGGTGTTCCTATAGCCACGTGGCCTCTTTATGCCGAGCAGCAGATTAACGCTTTTGAGATGGTGGAGGAGCTAGGGTTAGCAGTGGAAGTCCGGAACTCTTTCAGGGCAGATATTATGGCCGAGGAGTCGGCGTTAATGACGGCGGAGGAGATAGAGAGGGGGATCCGGTGTCTGATGGAGCAGGATAACGTAAGGGATAGAGTGAAGGAGATGAGTGAGAAGAGTCACGTGGCTTTAATGGAAGGTGGATCTTCACACGATTCTCTTCTTAAGTTCATAGAAGACGTCACTAAGAATATTTCTTGAATGTTCGCAAACGTAGAGAATCTTTCATTACTCTAAGGCTATCATTACAATAACCCATTTCATTGGTTAAAATCTCATGTAACGATGGTTTGTATCTGTTATATAAAAATTTCTTTCTGATTACTAAAACGAATAAAAATAATGAAAATGAATAATTATCAATACTAGAATGGTTTTCAGTAATGCTATAACTTATACGTTTAAGAATTGTTGCAAATCTATACATGTTAAGTTAAAGATGTCCACTGGTTAGTGGTAACGTAGATAGTGTACATAAACTTTTTTGATGTTACGTTACATGTCTTACTTGGGTATCCCCTCCAGCTAAGACCGGCCATGACCATTAGATACAAAAGGATGAAGCATTCTCTAATCTGATGCACATGAATGCATTAAATTAGTACAGATGACGACATACATTAGTGGGTTTGTCAGTTCTTTTTTTTTTTGCATTTAGATAAGTTTGTGAGAACAAAACATTATTGATCTATTTTCTTTTAAATTTGTTTGCAATTGAGTTTTTAAATCAGATCATTTAGCACAAAATATACTGTATAATATATTTATACTATATTAGCTAGGTATTTACTATATTAAAATAGAGTCATTCTTTTTATCTACTGATACAAGTTGTCATTTAAATTTGGACTCTTTCTAGAATGTTACAAATAATACAAGTCATATAGTTGATTGAACCGCATTACTTAAATTAAACCGATGGTTATTTATGAGATATAGTGTTGGGCTTACTTTTGTTTTTAGAACAAATTATATGAATTGGTTTTTGGGCTCAGTATTAAGGAAAAACTCCAAAAACATTGAATTAACTTTCCATCAATGGAAGGAAAAATCAGTTATTATTTTCAAGCCCAAAAGGTATTTAATATTTTTAAACAAAACAAAATTGTCTATTATTAATCATTTATTTAAATCATGTACTTTAAAACATGTTAAAAGATTTTTTTATTTTTAAATAACAATCACTTTGTTTTGATAAATTTCAATGCTAACTTTTAAATAATTTATTGTTTTATTTCTCTTAAATAATTTACTGATTTAAAAAAAATGTAAAGCAAAACCAAATCTAAAAACTAAAATCTAAAACCAAAAACTAAAAAAACAGGTTATCTTTTTTTCTTTTTTTTATTTACAAAATAAAATATTGTAAATTTCTTTAAAAAAAATTTTGTCATCTTTTAAGTTTTAAATTAGAAGTTCGATTATTTGGGATTTGTTTGTTAGTAATATCAGTTCAAACTAATTCAGCGGGTCTAAAAATTAAAAAACCAAACCAAAAGATGAAAATCAAAAATAGAAACTTAAAAACTAAAAACCAAAAATCAAAATCTAAAATAAAATCTAAAAATAAAAACTGAAACTAAAAACTAATGAATAACAATCATCACCACAAATTTTGGTGAACTGATTTTATCTCAAGACATTCTTTAAATTAATAAAAAACCCAATTATATAAATTTTTAATCATAAAAAATTTCCGCGCTTGAAAAGCGCGGGTTAAAATCTAGTTAAACTTTATAATTAAGTACTATTTCCTGTGTAGTCATCGAATTGCATCTGTTGAAAAAAATTACAGCCATGAGGTTTTGCTGGAAAAGGTTAGGCTTAAAGATATAATGAAAATAAGATATATACACATGTATATATAGATATATACAAAGCTTTAACAACATGAAAATAAGTTGCTAACAAAAACATGAAAATAAATTCTTTATATTTTTCTACAGAGAAACCTTTTCTATTGAAGTTCAAGGATAAAGATAGATGTACGTCTCGTATATATAAACTTTTGTTAGTGGCTATACATATGCGATTAGAGTTTCCGAATCGCACATCTGATTTATGTCGCCACATGCAAAATTTTCTACAATTGAGAGTTTTACATTTAGGTGGATTGATTACAGTTTTCGACCTAATTACATATCTAATTTAGGTACATGAAAATTCTTCTAATTAATTAAAAACGTAGGTTGGAATTCATTACAGTTTTAGAACCCATATCAGCCTATTTTAGAATGCCCAGATCAATAATCTAAATATAGAGCACTTTCTTCGTACAGCTGTATTTTTTCAGGCGTTAATGCCTCTGTTTAGTTTTGAGGAAGTCACAATAGTTTGACTTAGTTAGAATTTTTAGTTTGTAGGCATATTAAATATAATATTATAAAAATCTGAGGTTGATGTCTATGATTGTGTGATTACTTCTTAGCTCTTAGATTATTTAAAAAACAAAAAAACTGAACAGCTAACAAAAGCATGGCCGTGTAGTAAATTGACATATAGTTTAAGATTTTTCTTTTGATATTTCGTTGTAGTTATGTTTTTATAGATGGGTGACTCGTAGACAGTGATATGTGGACAAATATATAGTAACTGGGTTTCTCGTAAACAATGGTATGTGGGTAAATATATTGTAAATATGTTTCTCGTGGATGGTGTGTTGTGGACATTATCTCCTGAATATTTGTATGAGTATCTCATGAATGACTACAAGGATAATGTCTTATACTTGGACTATCGTGGATGAATATACAAAGAGAATCTTTGATATTAAAGTGATTTGATCCCAACAAGAAATGCATTGTTCATAGTGTTACAAAGATAATAAAGCTAAAACTTAGAATCTTTGACATTAAAAATTTTATTTTTACCATCTACTTAGACATACAAAAGTATAGTTATTAATATAAATACGTAAATTCTTAAAAACTGCATAACCTCTCCACAAAACTCGAAAACCACAACTTGCCTTAAAAAGATTCCCATGTCCACAATTTTCCTGACCACAATTCTCCCGACAAAAATTTTCTTCACCACAATTGTCATAACCACAACTCTACCGACCATAACTCTGGAGTACATGATGGATGAAAGCTAGGATTTTTCTCCATTATATGCAAAATTTTAAGCAACATGCAAAGAGTTTTGGATTTAGAAAAAGAATACATACTAGACTTAAGTAGTTGCTTTTGAAATCATAATCTAACCTTCCATCTCGGATCGTCTGTGAACCAAAGCAGCGGAAGTGGACACAGAGGTGGAAGCAGACACAGAGAACTGTTGGATAGAAAGAGAGAAGAGAAAAATATCAAAAGGGAGAAGATATCGAGGGATTAGAGACCAATTCCTAGATCAAGAAGATGTTGAATGGAAGAAATGGGTTAAAATCACAACTCTCCTAACAAAGATTCACATGTCCACAACTCTCCCGACCACAATTCTCCCAACAACAATTTTTCGGACCACAATTACCCTGACCATAACTCTGCCGACCACAACTCCGGACTGACCATAACTCTGCCGACCAGAACTCTGGACTGACCATAACTCTTCCGACCACTACTCCAGAGTACATGACAGATGAAAGCTATGATTTTTCTCGTTCTCTGCAAAATTTTAAATAATATGTAGATTTTTGGATTTAGAAAGAGAAGACATACTAGACTTAAGTAGTTGCTTTTGCAATCATAATCTAACCTTCCAAATCGGATTGTCTGTGATCCCAAGCAGCTGAAGTGGACACAGAGGTGGAAGCGGAAACAGAGGAGACCAACTAGACTCAAGTAATTACTCTAGTTGCTTCAAACAGCGACAAGGAAATCTAAGTTACGAAAAGCCTCTTAGGGAGGCAGTGGTCTTTTGTGTTCTCTGAAAATTTTAAAACAAGATGCAAAGAGTTGAGGTTTAGACCGAGAAGATCAACTAGGCTCAAGTAATTGCTTTAGGAGTTGAAATCTCACTTTCTATGTAGGAAATCTGTGAAACAAGGGAAGCGTAAAAGAACTTGCGGGGGTGTAGAACCCCGACAGATGTGTGCTCGAGAATAGAGGTGGAGAAGATTAGGGTTTGGTTTCAGAGTTCAATTTCTGTATTAGGGGTTTGATTTCTGGAAAATTAAGGATGATATCAGAGATCGATTTGGTATCATCGTTATTAGGGGTCGATTTTGGTATTAGGTTTCCAGAGAGATGTCGAGAGAGAGAGAATGATAAGATTTTGATTTAAAAAGAGAAAAAACAAAGAAAATAAATATGTGAATGGTCTCTTTATGCTAACGAAGAGATATTATTTTGTTTCACTTAGTTAGGAGTATTTTAGTCAATATATTCTCTATAAGTGTCCTATATGTTAAATGTGTCATTTAGTGAAATTGATAACTGATATTGTGTCTTCTAGAGTAATATTCTCGAAAATTAATAAGCCAATTTCTTTTCTTCTTATTTGGAGACTTGGAGTCATCGTATTTTCCGGGCTGACTCTGACGTTACTAACAATATCTATTGAAACTTTCAAATATTGAGAATGTTCCCAAAAACTGTCTTTTGACTATTAATTCTCCAATATCCATAGTTTTAACTGAACCACCCATCTTAATTGAAAAAAAACTTTTACAACAAAGCTAGTTTTGTGGAGGGAACAATAATCTCTTTAGAATCTTTCAAATATTGAGAACATTCACAAAACTATCTTTTGACCATTCTCCAATATCCATGGCTAGAACTGAATCACCCATCTTAATTAATAAAGTCTTTTACAAGTATAATGATTTCAAAAAGTGTTGTTTACCAATTTACTCCTCAAGGAGGTGTCACACATTGTATTTGATAAATAAACTTGTGTTTGAGTGATTTGCAGAGTGTCTGGAACATACTTGACAGAGAACAAAAATGAGGGTCGATGGAAGTGCTTATCCAACCAACGACCACATAATTTACAGAGGTCCAACAAGTTAAGTCTAGATTTGTAGATGGTTTTTGGAATGATACCATCAATGTATCATGCACTTGAATGATCGAGAGAATGTAGAATATAAAGAGAATCTGATGCGAAACTCTCTAGACTAACATAAAAAGTTGATGAAGCAGTAGAAATTTTGCAGTTAGCAAAAGATGTGTAGGGTGTTTTCAAAAAAAAAGCAAAAGATGTGTAGACTGAAGGTAAGTGATATGCGGCATATATGCCATAGAGGATATATACTCGGAAACATGAGCAGCAGAAGAAAGAAGAGAACTCAAAGGAACAAAACAAAGATCAACTCTCTTTTTTTAAATCAGTTTAGTCGTTCAAGAATGGAAAATAATACAATTAGTTTTGGTAAATCGTTTTACAAGTTGTTGTG